GCATTCTGAGTAAAAGTACAGGATAACACTTAATTCTGTGAAAAGAGGGTAGTCTATGCTTTAGTTCCTAATTTTTCCTCAGCTTATATTCTCACTTGAATGAATGACTCACATAGGAATGTATCTAAATGTATATAAGTTTATTATATGAAATACATGCTGATATTTCAAAATGTGTAAAAGAGTGAGATGCCATTCTTGTTAAAGTAGGTCTGGTACTTCAAAATATATAAAAATCACTATGATCAAATTTTAAGACTAAATGGTATTAAGACTAAATGCATTTTGTAGAAATGTGTTATATAAATGCTATTCTTATTTAAATCCCTATGCCTATCACTATTCAGATATGTGTCTATCTTTCTACAAATATCTGTATATTTGTGTTTGTATGTGTGTATATAATATGCATGTATTACTAGTATATATACATATATACATATTATCTTATAGAACTTAAAGATTCACGAAGTCTCCTAGGTTACATGGAGTAGTAGTTCCTTGGAGCATTAATGCCAAGTCTCTATATAGCTGGGCCTGAAAAGGGGAAGCTCTACAAAATATCTGTTCAAAAACATGAACAGTTTTGTAATGGACATTAAAAATGTACAATATTACAAGATGTCGGGAAACCGAAACCAGACAAAACCAAGATCCCTCAATTCTTCATATTTCTTTTTATTTTTGATCCTCATGTGGAAATGTCCTTAGAGACTCAGGTGTTGGGGATGGGAAATATATGAGCGACCCCTCTCCACCTCTCCCCCGTCCCCCAATCTAATTCGTGGGAGAATAATTCAAACAAGTTAAGACAGAAGGTTTTGCACTGCCCTGGCCTGGTCAGGAATGGATTTGTCTGCAGCCAATTAGTTGTCAATTCTTCTACAGGATTGGCTGCCTTAGGACATGCTCCAAAAAAAAAAAAAAATGTGGGTAGGAAGAGCTTAGTCACGACCAACACAGTCTGGCTTTCAAATCACAGGCAGTTCACTGCACTCCGTCCCAGGGAGGGGAGAAGGAAACGAGGCTGGCTCTGTCAGATGTCTGTGGAAGCTGCACACTCCTAGGAGAAATCTGCCTGGACTAGTGACACAGTAAAGGATCAGCATGGAAGCAGCCATAAGTACTAGTAGATGTCCAACTGCCTGCAATCCGCTTTTCTGATTTCCATTCCCTTTAAATCACAGCTATCCGGCGTCAATAACACTACAAAGTATTTTGTGAGAAAAAACAAGGTCACGGTGTTGTAATGCACTGTTTTGTGAGTCACTCTTAAATAAGGGCATATCCAAATGTATAGACTGTTTAAACATACAGGTCAAAAAAAAAGAAAAGCCAAAGGTAATAATAACTGAAAACAGCTTGTGAAGTTACATGTAAGTAGATCGTATGGCAACGGAACCGCGTATTTAATAAGGGTGCCAATTGGATAAGGCTAATTCTTTGGGTGTAATTCATTCCAACAGATAAAAATTTTGAGATAAAGCAATTAAACTAAAATCCATAAATTGGCATTAGAATCCAGGGCAAAACTGTAGTGGTAAGTATGAGACTAATCTATGATGATATTGACAAAAATTGTGACATTCAGGAAAGATAAATTTTGTTTGGCGCATAGCAATTAAAGTTGGGAAGGAACCATGCACTGCTTAACTTCCATTATCAAAATATAAACAACTTGGCAGTAACCTAAATGGCGAAGTGATAAAGATTTTAAGGAAGATTGACTCACAGAAATGGAAAACAGGAAATACAGTAGCAAGTGAAGTGCTCACACCAAGTAGAAGAAGCTGAGATCCCCTAGCAACTAGGGCCTAGTTGCAAGGTTTTAAATGGCATGCTTTTTATCTTTGTGAATTTCAATTAGACTCTGCAATGGGCAAGCCAGGAAGGAAATATTAACCATGGAGGAGAAAGGTGGTGTTCCATTCTTCACAGAGCATGCACAGAGGAGAGTAAATGTTTGTTTAGGTCAGTGGTAGGCAAATTGTGGCTCACGAGCCACATGCGGCTCTTTGGCCCCTGGAGTGTGGCTCTTCCTAAGCCTTAGGAGTACCCTAATTAAGTTAATAACAATGTACCTACCTATATAGTTTAAGTTTAAAAAATTTGGCTCTCAAAAGAAATTTCAATCATTGTACTGTTGATATTTGGCTCTGTTGACTAATGAGTTTGCCAACCACTGGTTTAGGTTGTAGTGTATTGAATACGTATTTAGAAAGTGGTAATTAATAGGTTAAAAAAGAACAGCTTGAAATATTTACAATGCAAAGGTCTTACCCTCCTCACATAATCTTCAAAGGAAAGCTGAAATGTATGTGGAATAGCAGTGTCTGCTGTTATGAAAACTGTACCATCTAGGAAAAACATCAGAATTTTTGGTTCAAAACTAACGAAATTGAACAGTTTGGCACATATCGACTTCGAATGTAATATGACAGAAACATGTCAGTATACTTATCTTTTTCTCTTTCCTTTGAAAGTGTCCAACGTTTGTAACTACTTCTCCAAGAGATGATCAACCACTCTGCTTTGCCTCAGTAGGATGTGCATAACATTCTGTCTTATGTGCCCTACAAAAAGGAAAAAGGAAAATTTCAGTCTCTCTCTCCCTCTCTCTCTCTCTCTCTCTCTCTCTCTCTCTCTCTCTTTCAAATTGCATCGCCTCAAATTAAATAGAGGAAAAAAGAGACAGAACAAACACAGGATACTGAAAGTGTAACATGGGGGCTGGAATTACAACAGGTCCCCTTTTTCCAGGAAAAAAAAAAGCCCAGAGGGGAGAACCTCGCATTCTGCTCTGTTCTGTTCCCCACCCTGAGGAAAGGAATCAAAGAGCTGCAGAAGTAGGAGAAACACTGCTCCTTTAATTTTGCTCGGGGGGTCGGGGCTGGGGGTGGCAGATGTAAACTTTTTAGAGCAGTGGATTGATTTGCTCACCAGGTAGGGAGGATGCCTGTGAAAAGAGATCGGGGGAGATAACTGCTGAGAGTGAACGGGAGGTTTCCCAAGGTGTATACTCTGCAAATGGACTTTCCTGACCAGCTTGAGGGAAGTCTCCAACCCTCAGAGCTTTGCGGTGAAAGCTCTGGCAGGAGTGTGAAGGAATGAACGATGCATCTCGAGGGCTCAGGGAAATCAGAGAAACTTCCTGCTGTCTGATTCCACGAATGTGCCTTGAACTTGGTCCTGCGTGGAAGCGCTGATGACTAAGTACAGGCGTGATGAGTCCCCTCGCCCTCCAGCGGGAGCGGTACCTCTTTCCCTCTCCTCCGCAGCCACGTCGCCCCAGAGCCAAGTGTTGGGGGGCTGGCGACAGGGCGCGGCTGCGGGGACCTAGGGACCCACAGACATTGCATTAGCGACGCCTCACCCATACCCACCGGCAGCACCTAGGAACCTCCTCGGGGAGCCCGGTGGGCCGCCGCGGGGAGCGGTCTGTGGTGGCCGTGGGCTCCGCTCCGCCCGCGCGGTGTGGACGCCCGCGAGCAGCGCTCCAGGCTCCCCGAGGCTCCTGCCGCCGCCGGGGGCTGTGCCTCTGCAGGTGCCAGGGCAACGGTTCCCCGGGATCGGGGCGAGGGCGGGGGTCCTCACTTGCCCTGGATCTCGGGTAGCCCTCCTCCCGGGCCTGGCTCCTCCTCCTCCTCCTCCAGGCTGGGGCTCGCGCCCGCCGCTGCCAGCGCGCACGCGCGCTTCGGTTGGGCCCCCCTCGCCCGCGGTTCTGCAACGCTCCCCCTCTTCTCCCTCCTCCTCCGCCCATCAGCGCAACTACGGACGCTTCGCGGTCTACTCCGGCGCCGCCGCCGCTGCTCCCCGCGCTCCTCTGGCTCCCACCAGCCCTCCGCTCCAGCTCGCTGGGCTGCTGCAGCCGGTCTCTCGCGCTCTCTTCTCTCTCAAGTTTCCTATCTGCTCAAGATCGGAGCCGAGGGAGGAAAAGCCCCAGGTCTGCTCGCGGTTGCAGGTAAGGTCGCACACGTTGGTCCCAGCAGGGACCCTCTCCCGGTGCCCCTGCCTCCGGTGCATGCCCCAGCTCCCGCACTCTCTCCGGCGCCCCCGGAACCGCGGAGGTTCGGGTCGCCCCCTCCCCCCGAGCCCATCCGAGAAAGAATTCCGGAACCCATCACGAGAAGCGTGTTGGCAAGTGCAATGCGGTCCGAGACCCCCGCGCGGCTGCACGGTCGCCCGGCTCTTTGACAGTCTTCAACTTTGCACGCCGCGCCGCGGAGCCTGCCAGCCGGGCTGGCCCCGGGCGCCGGGCGCTCCTGCCCGCGTGGTGGTCCCGGGCGCCCCGAACAGCTGGCAGACGCCGCGTTTCTCAGCGGTGGAGCCTGACCCGGCTGCCTCCCAGACGTGATCTTTGGCAACTGTGGATGGGCAGGGAGGGCGATGATGGCATTTTATTTTAGAGGGAGCGAAGAAGTGAAGGTGCGAGGACTGCATCTCACTGTAATGGAAGGAATAACAATCGGAAAAGTGGGCTGGCTGCCCGCCACCCCGCACCCCCCTTCCCTGGCTTTTCTTGCCTTGATCGCGGGGGTGGCCTTGGTTAAGGGGATGGTGGCTTGAAGTGCCCATCTCTCTCCTCTCCCGCCCCACTTTCATTCTCCCCTCCAATCCATACTCTTCTCTAGCTCCTATGTCAATTCAGGGTCCCGTGTGTTATCATTTGAATGTCTCTATGTGAGCACAAAACAATGTTTGCTGAGGATGGGCAAAGTGTGATTACTTGATCATCTGCCAGTCAAAAATAAAAAAAAAATAATAGATAAATAAATAAATAAGAAAAGAAAAAGAAAAGGAAAGGAAAGAAGTAAGAAGAAAACTCACAAAATACAACCCTCGCTCACCCCATCATCATACCATACACTCACTCTGCTGGAATAGCCTCCATAGCTTTAAATGCAATTACCGACGGAAATGGCAGTCTTTTGGGGCTATTTGGATGGTGGGGCTGAATTTAATTTTTAGTGTATTTTGGTTTCCTTTCATGGCTTCACCAGAGCTGCAATGAAGATGAAATTGAACATCGACAGCATGCAGTTACTGCTTTTTGTCTTCTTGATGTGGGACCCAATCAGGTGAGACATTTATCGTATGTGACTCTTTTAATTCAGGGTAAAGGTGTGTTTCTTGAATGGCATCAGGGTAGGGGTGGCTTTTGAGAAGCTGGAGTATCTCGAAGTATTATTTCTAATGAAGAACGATTGTACCCAGAAACTGAACTATGCAGTGGCAGAGACGATAAAAAGTTCACTGCTTCATGCTTTTCGCTATAAATGCAAAAGTGAACAGAAACATTGTCTTTAAAAAAAAATCACTGAAGGAAACAATACCCTTTGAATGGCATGTTCTTGCAAGGAATTGAAGAGATTAAGTTATATGCATATCATAACACCAAAATTCACTGAGGGAGTCAACAGTTTTCCTTTAAGCCACACAAACTGCACAGACTAAAATGATTTGAGTGTTAACTTAATTTTTCTTCTTCCTTTCTTTCTTTCTTTCTTTCTTTCTTTCTTTCTTTCTTTCTTTCTTTCTTTCTTTCTTTCTTTCTTTCTTTCTGCTTCTCTCTCTTTTTTTTAATGGTCTTGGCTCTTTCAGTCAACACAGAAAACCTAAATGATATGTGAGCCTTAAGCCTCTAGGTGGAGGTAGTATACAACTTCACAATCACAAACAATAAGATAAAAGCTTGATTTATTAATCAACTTTTTACATTATTCATTTGGATATCTTTTGTTCTTAAAATGGTTACTACCATAAAGAGTACTGATTTTAAACATACAACTTTTTTTTTTTGCCTATGTTCTACAAACATGAAATAATTTTTATTGCTTTCAGTAACTTCATCATAGCTGTAGTCTTTTCTGATTCTTTATCACCAATGGGCATCTTTTATTTATTGACTTTAGTATGCTTTTAAAATAAAAGGGGACTTAAAGTATGAGTCATAAAAATGTTCATGTAACCATTCCTTTTTAAAAAAAAAAAACCCAAAACAACACCCTTATTATATCTCCATTTCCCTTAAAATTTTTCATTTTCCTCTCCAAATAGTTGTCCAAGTATGAAAATATTTTCTAGAATTGAGAAAAATCTCTTTACAAAGCCTTATTTTAATTGGAGAATATCTCATTAACACCTTAATACTGACTTTAGAAAGAAACTGTAACATGTGATTAAAAAAACACTTTTGACTGAAAATCTCTATGTGGAACTTTGTGACTGCTCTCTCAGTGATTGGTTTTAAAATTAGCTTAAGGCAATATAGAAGCTTGAGGCTGAAGGGTATGAACTAATTTGCTTGCATAATTTAAATATGTTTATCTTCAATTGGTGTTTTAATATTTTTTCTGCTTTCAAGACAATATTTTAAGTTGGTTACCAATTTCTGATGTATTGTGACTATTTTTAGCTACTAGCTGTATAATCATTTAAATGCAAATGGACTCTGTCAATGATACTTTACACAATACACCTGGCTCAGCATGCAGATTACATAGAATCTTTTAAAGGAGCGAACAAAGGAGGTCAATTAATAATCTTTGAAAATCCTCAGCTTAACCGTATTTCTCTCTATTGGTTTTCTGTTCTCTATTTAACCGGTAATGCTCATGCCAGTATTTTATTCTATTATATAAAAGATTCTCTCTACTTATTTATTTATTTATTTGTTTATTTATTTATTTTTGACCAATAATTTAAATCTCTGATTCATTCTGGGAAAAACGGCAGTGCAAAGGGACATTCTGTTTTATACATCCTTTGCTTCTGCACCAATTTGCTGGATGTCACAAAACCAGGCCTCTGGCTTTCTGATGGACAAATAATGGAGAAAAATCACTGTTTTTAACCCTCTTTCCTGTGATATTTCGAGACCATTTGTTCTTTCCACAAATTTACCACACGCAGGCTTACAAAAGTAGCTGGGCATTTGAATCTCAGGGGACCCCTGTCGCTCTCCTCCAAGTCCAGGCAGCAGGGTCTCTTCTAAGGCTCTCTGCTGCTCGGATTGTGCTGTGATCCTTTCAGAGCCCACCTCCACCTCCTGGCTGCACAGGAGCCTGGAACCCAGCCAGCAGAGTTCCCCTGATGTCTATATTGCACTTGGCCATTGGGTGGAGGTATACCCAAAGTAAGGAAATCATCTTGCTTTAAAAGAGAAAAAGACATAAAGAGAAAAAGGAAGACATTCATGAGGAAGACAGAGAAATTTAGTGCCTTGAAGGAAGCAGTGTTTTTCTCAATTAATATTCGCATCACTGAAGAATGATTTCAGGGGATCCTTGGATTATTGTAGTTGGAATAACATTATTAATAGTGTCTGCATGTGATAATCTACCATCATAACGTATTCTAGGGAATGGATTTTAGGGGGGGGAAAGGGATGACACACACACAATGCTGAGTAGTAGCTATCTGGAAGAATTTTGACATCAAACTTTCTGATCATCTGGTATTTAGTGGTATTTAGTATTCATTTTCCATAGCATGTTTACCTTCCCCATAGACATACTGGCATTTATAGAAGTGAAAAGAAGAGGAAAATAGGGAGCCTTACAATTCAAATCAAGAAAGAAGAGCATGTTGGTATTTTCGGAACACATATATGTATTTATATATATATAATATATCAGTTTGTAAAATTATCTGTTTAGGTTGGTGCTGGCTAACATCCAAGAAGATGGGCCAGAAAACAACATCACCATTTTTACAAGAATTCTAGACAGACTCCTGGATGGTTATGATAATCGGCTTAGACCGGGACTCGGAGGTAAAAAGATTTTTACTTTCTTTTGAAACTCTCATGAAATAATGCCTTTAGAAGTTAAGGTCAGTATGTAATTTTGATACATTTTATGTATAAATGCATTTCACGTATTAAAAAAGATAGTTAATAGAAAATAAGTCCTGACCTTTGGCATGAATAGCTTTGAAATTAGTTCATTTACAATAGCTAAGTTTTGTAAACTTAAGTGTATGCTAAAGGGTAACATTATTGGGCAGAAATGCTTGTAACATCTTTGGTTTCCCTCACCACATTTTACAGATGCCTGTTTTAATATCAGTACAGATATGCAAAAATGAGCTGCATAAATAATAGTGTCTGAGTTGTATTTCAACACATACTCTTTTTAGGATTCTGTGATGATATTTCTTATGCAGCATGTGGCATTTCTAAAACGCAGCACAGGTTTGGCATTCTTGAAACTTTCAAAGACACTTTCCATATATGTGAGCTGTAGGCCTACATTTATTGGGCTGTGGCACAGTTTGACTTGAAATGTAAACATTCCTTTTTCACCTCAGAAAAACAGTCTATTTTTATTCATGAAGGTAAAGAAAATTAGGCTTGGCTAATATGTTAAATTTTAATTATCTTTCAGCATAGCTGGATGATTCTAAGGAGATTAGGTGAGAGTAAGGATTCTGAGTCAAAATATTGTTACTCATCCCTTCTAACGTGAGATATTTGCTTTTTTTATTTGAATCCTGAGAAGCACCTTGCATTTTAAGAGAGAAGTGTCATAACCAGAAATATGACACATTGTATCTTGTAGAAATAATTCAGTTGACTAATCTACACTTAGTTTTCCAAAAGGAAAAAAAATGGAAAGGAACAGAATATTTCCTTAGTAATTAATATGTCTAATGCTCATGAATATAAGGTACTACTGTCCATGTTAGCATACATGACCATGTGCTATTGCCAAACATATACAATAGAAATATGCCTAGCTTTCACAATTCATGATAGACAATTGAGAGGTAGATTGCACTAAGGCAGATATTTTTCCTAAGCCATAGATTTTATTATTTTTAAGTAAATAATGTGCTATCAAAAATATTTGAGCTAGACCTTGGCTTTTGTCTCTGAGGCTCTAGTTGTATGGTGGGTAGTAGAAACGACTTGTTGCAGGACATGGGTGTTGCCATTTATCTCTTTATATTTATTTTGTAATATTCTTTACATTCATTTTTACTGCCATTATCAGGACTCAAATATAGATCCCTGTCACCATATTATTTGGGTTAATACAATAGATTAAATGGATCTCCTTGCCTAGTGTTTTTGTTCCCTAAATTTTATCTGCTATTATACATATTGTAATATTATTTGTATTCTTTTATTCTTATAGTGCTTTTATATGTCACTCTATTCTCTTGATTAGATATCTTCCTTGGCTCCCCATTGCCTTCAGTCAATGGCTGTGAGGAGTAGTGGAGAGAATATGGGCCTTGGAGGCCGATAGATCTAGATTGAAGTTTTTGCTCCACCCACACCCAAAGCTAAGCTGTGGCCAGATAGTCTCTGCTTCCTTTTATTTAAAGTAGCCATGCTGTATCTCCCTTTTTACTTCATAGGTTTGATGATAGGATCACATAAACAAAAAATATACATAAAGCTGGTGCCACACACTAGCAGTTCAACAAGATCTATTCCATCTCTCCTCCCTTAGATAGCTAAGTTGCCAATCAAGGTTTTCTACCATCTACTTCTCTGGTCTCATTTTTTGTTTCCCCTCTCATGTCTTCTGCACTTCAAATGCATCAATTCATTTTCCCTTGATAATCCAGTCGAGTCTTCTCCCATGGCCTTTGGTCATATTATCTGCCTCTCACTGAAATTATTTTTCCTCATCCTCTCTGATGATCTAAACTTTACCTTTCCTGTAAGGACCACCTCAACACTAGTCCTCTTTAGTAAAGATTTTTCATAACTAAATTGAAGTACCCAGATTCAATTTTCTCTCTCTTGAAATTCTTCAGCAGTTGTTGGCGCTATATCTCATTTGGTACTTATTATGTGCTATCTTGGATTATTTATTACCTCTTTATGTGTCTCTTGTTACTTTAACAAGATTGCAAGCTCATTGAGGCAAGATATGGTATCATAAATCCTGTGTGCCTCAGCAACTAAATATTGATTTGCATATTGTGGCCGTAAAATAAATGTTGATGGCTTGATTAACTTTTCTGTGACCAGTTAATCTTCTGTAAAATGGAGCTACTCAGACCATGTTGAAGTGATATGTTGAGCATCATGCTGCAGAATTACTGTAGTGTTGCTTAGTGAAGAGAACTTAACTTTAGGCTGCGGAGATTCAGGAAAAATCCTGGTTCTGGTACTGAACAGTCCTATGACCTTTGCACACTGAGCCTCTCTGGGTCACATTTGTCCTGTATAGAAAGAGATTACTGATAGTAATATTCTTAGAGTTTTGATGAATGACATATGCAAAGAATTTAGCACAGTAACTAGTATATAGTAGAGAGTTAATAAATAATAACTAAAAGAATTTGAAAAACTTTCCAAATGTACTGTTGCAAATTTAAATTATTATTATGGTTACTTCTGCATCCAAAATTCTTAGCCTGAATGTTCATATGTCATTCCAGATAGAAAGTTCAGGGAAATTACTGTGTCATTATGTTTCAGAAATTAATAAGGGAAAAATGGGCTTGATCCTATTTTAATATATCAAGCTGAGCATCTCTATTGATGAATAATTTGGGTAATTAATCTCAATTATTATTTTCTTTCCTTTGTGAGTTTCATGTAAATGAATACACAAGAAAGAGCAATCAGTTTTGGACCAGGAGTCAGAAAAATTATTCTTTTCACCTGGCTGTGTCACTTACTAGATCTTATCTCGACAAGATACTTAGACATTCTGAGCGCTGGTATTTTCTGTGGGAATGTGGACATAATTGTATTTTATTCTGAGAGAAGGAAGGGAAATTGGGATTCATATATGTAACAAAGGTTATGCAATATATTGAGTGATAAAATTTTAAGATATTTAATGATTAATAATAGGTCTTCTTTAAAAATTAAGTCAGATCCTGCCACTCAACTGCTCAAAACCCTGCAATGGTTTCCACTTCATTCATAATTAAGCTGGGATTTCTTGTGCTGGCCTCCAAGGGCCTGCAGGATCTGCCTCTCTGTTCTCCCTCTGACCTCACCTCACCCAGCTGCTGCTGCAGTCACACTGGCTTCCTTCTGCTCGTTGAGTGCACCAGAACACTCCTGGGAGCCTTTTCCCTGGAGCTCCATTGATCTCACCTTCTCAATGAGACCTATCCTGACCAACCACATAAATACAAGATAATTTCTATCTTTGTTAATTGATGTCAATTGCTTATTTTTGTCTATTTTGCTAGAATATAGGCTATTTGAGGTCAGGGATTTTGGTCCATCTGTTGTTTGGTTCACAAGCATCGGTAAGCACTCCATTGAACATACCTTGAATAAATATTAATTGTATTTATTTATTTAATTTTATTTTAATATGCTACCGGGAAAAGAATCAACTATAGGACTTATTCTTTTTTTTTTGGACTTATTCTTAAAATAAATGGAGCGATTGTCATTTAATTACCACATTAGACTTTCACTCTTAATATCAGCATATTTAAGGCCGAATTCTTGGTGAATTGGAATCTTTGTTACATCTGTTACTCAGACTCCTGATTTAATGTTAGATGTAATTCTGCCATGAACAAGCTGTGATTTGGGATGATTCATTTATCTGAACTGTGACTTAATTTTCTCATCTGTAAAATGGAAGAAGTTCTTACTCTGTTTATATCTCACAGGAATATTGTGGGGCTCAAGTAGTAAATTAAAATTCTTAAGAAAGCATAATGTGACATACACTTGATAAGTATTATATTGTTAGGAATAGCAGAGTTCTTCAAGGAGAATATCATCTATCCTTTAAAATCATGACCAGAAAATACTGCTATGTCTTGTGCATTTTTTGGTTTACTTCCTTGTGAGCCTGGAAACTAGAGATGGGGTTGCCTTTATATCTTATCTACCAAGACCACACATTCAGATTAGTTAGAATGAATAACTGAATCAATTTTTTTCCTTTTGTCTTCATTTTAGTCATTGGAGCTAACAATTCATCGTATGGCTCATCTATTTTTATATTCCATAAAAGGCTTTCCCATTGTTAGCTGAATGAAAGGAGCAACATTTGTTTTTTGGATGAATTTTATGGGGTCATTGGAAAAATGAATGTGTAGACAGGCCTTGTATATTTTGACAGCTAACATCCACAATGCTAAACAGTGACAACTATTAGAAATGACAAGTCTTGCTATCTAAATTATAGATTCAGTCTGGAAAATCTGGATTGAGTACCATGCTTAATTGCATTTCAAAAGCTGTTTTGAGGAACCGTTTTCTCCCTTCACCCCACTCTCTCATTTTATACTCTGAAACCTTGAAGAATCTTTCAGTTGAAAACCATGAAAAACATGATGTACAATCATAGACTTAGTGGCTGAGGGTGAATTTTCAACCTCACTCTTGGATACTTATCCTCAGGCTATAGGGAGATATGTGATAACATGTTTTGTGCATTTTACTACTCTCAAATTTATAAAAATAAACTATAGGCTATTCAGTGGCAAAAATAATATAGAAAAATCTAATCTCTTCCAGAACTAAGAGGAGTCTGACCTCAAAATAACATCTTATTACTCTATAAATAATGGTTAAGATCAATGCTTCTGGATACCAACATCTTTGGATTTCAATTCTGTTGCCACCATATATTAACTACAAGACTTTTAGCATGTTACTCAACCTCTCATTGCTTTTGCTTCTTTATTTGTACAATGAGAGTAAATTATGTGACATTGGTTTTCTTGGATTTAATTTTTTTAAACATTTTTATTGATTTCAGAGAGGAAGGGACAGGGAGAGAGAGAGAGAGAGAGATAGAAACATCAATGATGCGAGAGAATCATTCTGCA